CAACGCCCACAGCGTCCTCCCCAGGACCGCCTGCCAGACCTGGTGGAAAAGAGGGTCTCCCGTTCTTTAGGAATGGGCTGAGCTGCTTAGAAAAGAGAGAGCCTGGCTGGCCCCATGGCTAGCCAGGGAGAGCCAGGTTCACACGGCTAACCACACAGTTCGAATCCTGGCCCTGGTGGCTTGAAAAACATGCTGCGTGCATGTGATATGTGCCCCAAGACAGGTTGGAGAACTGAGGAGGGGGGATAGTGGTGTGATCATACCTCATTAGGAGGTGCTTTCCCTCTGGCAAATGCATGTGCCATGTGATAAAAATAAACAAACAAACAAAAACAAACACCCCACGCTCTTTTCGTCCCTGGCTGAAAGAAAAGAAAAGAAAAGAAAAGAAAAGAAAAGAAAAGAAAAGAAAAGAAAAGAAAAGAAAAGAAAAGAAAAGAAAAAGAAAAGAAAAGAAAAGAAAAAAGAAAAGAAAAGAGAAAAGAAACAAAGGACGGAGCCCACTCAGGGGAGCCGGCTGGAAAGACTGAGCCCTGAGGACTGGGTGTGCCCTGGGTCCAGCCATGTCCACTCCGGGCAGTGTGCACTTGGCTGATCCCTCGCTCTGGTTTGAGTTCGGTTCCTGTCCGTTATGGATGTTAGGTTCAGTTTTGGAGGCTCAGTGTCCTGCAGTGCCTGGCACGTAGGGCTTCTTCAAAAAATATTTGTTTAGGAACCAGCAGTTAGCATAATGACTATGTCGCTGAACTCCCATGTAGGCGGCCGCGGTTCAAGTTCTAGACCTGGTGGCTTAAACTCACGCCAGGCACATGTGCATGCGTGCCCAAGATCCCGAGAGGAGAATGGAGGAGAAGGGATTGCGGCGTGGCCATTCCCCCTGGGGGGTGATTTCTCACTTTCTGTCTCTCTGTCTCTCTCTGTCTTTCTGGCAAGTGCACACGCCCTATAGCGAAAACCTCTCCAAAAATAATTGTTTAATGCGTTGGAAGGGAAGGCAGCAGATGTCATGGTGGTTAAAGTGGCTGCATTCCACATGGCTGACTGTGCTGTTTGAATCTAGGACCTGGAGGCTTGAAAACATGGCAGCGTGTGTACCTCAAATCCCGAAAGGAGCGATGGAGGAGGTGGGACTGCGGCATGACCACGGCCGTGGTGGGCGGTCTCACTTCCCTGTTCTCTCTGTGTCTCTCTGGCAAATGCACAAGCCCTCTAGCAAATAAGGGAGAGGAAGAGAGGAAGGCATAGTGGAGCCTGTCCTGGCAGCTTCTCGCCCTCTGCTGTGGGCTCCAGTCACGGCTGCTCCCCGCCTCCCCTCCCCCTGCCACGCCTGCTGCTGCTTCGAGTGCCTGCGTCTGGGCCTTCGTCTCCTCACTTTTAAGGTCCTACTCCATTGCTTCTCCAGGGGGCGCGGCACTCAGCTTTGATGACATGGGGACAGTTCATACCACATCTACAGAAAGTGGCAGCCTCTGGAGCGACGGGACTGCGCACACCTGCGTGGCCTCGGCACCCTCCTTGAGGCCCACATCAGACCTCCTTGCAAGAGCACCTGCAAGCAGGGGCAGCACACGCGTGCCCTGAGGGCCAGGCTGGAGACACCGTCACCGACACGAGCCAGGCAGGCTGCGGTGGACAGGGAGGACACCCCCCCAGCAAGGCAGCTCAGCTGCCTGAGACCTAGAAGAAAGGACAGCCCGAAACCAAAGGTCCGAATGCCAGGTTGGCCTGAAAACACATCTAGCACATGATGCCAGGTGCCCAAGAGCCTGAGAAGCTGGAGAGCTGGGGACAGGGTCATGACGTGACAAGATTCTACTGAGGGTGCTTCTCCCTCTTTCCTCTTGGGTGCATGCTCTCTCATAAACAAAATAAACGGAAAAAAAAAGATAGCCCTAGATTTTTCTTGAGAAGCGGTAAGTCCAGATTTTTATGTAAAATCTATTATTTATTTTTTAAAATTTGCTAGAGGGACCAGCAGGTGGCATGGTGGTTAAGATGCTGGAAACTCTCACATGGCCGACCATTCACATCCCCGACCTGGTGGCTTGCTTTCTCACTTACTCTCTCTCTCTCTCTCTGTTTTTCTCTGGTCAAATTAAAATGAATGAATGAATAAATAAAATTGAATAAATAATTCTTTAAAAAATTTGCTAGAGGGCACATGTACTTGCTGGAAAGAAACGTGGGCTAACGGTCTCAACATAGTCCCTTGTTTGTAAAAAATATTTGCTATAGAGCTCGTGAGTTCTTCCGAAAGAAACACAGAGACAGGGAGAAAGTGAGAAACCACCCTCAGGGAGAAGGGATCCATTCTTCTCCAACCTCCTCTCGGGATTTTGGGTATGTACACACATGTGCCTGACGTGTTTTTCAAGCCACCAGATCCAGGACTTGAACCACTCAGTAACCCAAGTGGGATGCAGCCGCTTTAACCATCACGCCACTTGCTGACTCCCACAGTCCCTTCTCCATTTCTGCCCCCTCATGGTTTTTTTTTTTTTTTTTTTTTTGAGAGATTTTCACTGTAGGGCGCGTGCGCTCGCCAGACAGACAGAGAGACATAGAGACAGAAAGCGAGAAATCACCCCCCAGAGGGGATGGTCACGCCGCAATCCCTTCTCCTCCATTCTCCTCCTGGGATCTTGGGCACACACGCACACGCGCCCGGCGTGAGTTTTAAGCCACCGGGTCCGGGACACGAACCGCGGTCAACTACGTGGGAATCCAGTGACATAGCCATTACGATAACTGCTGGTTCCCCCCCCCCCTTCATGTTTTTCAAGTTCAGATCCTGAACTCGAACTGCAGTCAGCCACGTGGGAGCCAGCTGCCTTAACCACCACATCACTGGCCCTAAGATCTATTTTTTAAATAGATTTTTAAATGTTAAATGTTAAATTTTTAAATGTTAGCAATGATCATGGTTTGCGGAATACCATGTAGGCCAAACAAATCCGCAGGTCTGAGGCCCAGGCTCCCGTTGGGGGCATTTTCTGGGAGCGAGGACTGGACCTCCAGTCAGGGCTGCAGCAGGGAGGGGTGTGGCCTGCACGCAGGAGGCACCGGCTGAGGGCTGCAGTCCAGCTGGAGCTTCACGCACCAGTCACAGCACCTGATGGGACACCAGGTCCTGTCAGGGGGCGCGGTGGTGGCTCCCTGCACGCAGGTCCTGTCCCTGCTGACGCTTTCTGCGACGGCTTCCTCACAGCCGAGCGTGAACACCACATGAGGAGACCTGGCTCTGAGGTGAGCAAGCGTCCTGGTTTGCCTGGGGTCTTCCGGTTAAACCTGGAAATCCCACATCCCGGCAGCCCCCTTAGTCTGAGGCAGACCAGGGTGGCAGGTGACCCTACGCAGACCCCTGCTGCCACCATGCCCGCGGCCGGCGGAAGGATGACCACGCAGAGCTGGAATGCCTGCGCGTGCTAAGAGCCAGACGCTGTGCAGACAGCCCCTGCCGTCCCTTCTGCCTCATGACATCGTCGTGGTGTGGATTTGTCGTCTCAGATCCACGGCCGAGGAACAGGCGCTTGGCGTCACTTCCCCGGGCAAGTGGGGCCAGTGGGGTCTGAGCGCACATCAGTGCAAACTCACTGTGCCCTCCTGCCTCCCAGGGCCCCTCGCTGGGCCATGTCTGCTGGCAGCCTCCGCCCTGGGCATGCTCCGCACCCAGCACCTCGGGCGCTCACCTAGGGCAAAGTCCACGCACCCCACTGGTCTCCGGGCCTGCCCGGGCTCTCCTGTCTGTGCATGTCTCTCCCAGCTCTGCACAGGACAACCTGAGAAGCCTTCGGGGACATTCTGTTTCCAAACGCCAAGAGCCTCTGTTTCCCGGCACCCTGTTGCCCACGGCACAGACAGGGATGAGGCTGGTGATTTATTGCTGGGGGTTGGGGCACCGTCCAGGGCAGGGATGGAGGGTCCGAGGGTCTCGGGAGGCAAGCTGTCTTTTCAGGTCCCTTGAGGGGGGCTCTAATCACAGCTGGCGCCCGCCTGGGGCCGGCGTGGGGGGAGGCGGCTCCTGAGGTAGCGCAGGGCCGAGCGGATGCCCTCCACCGTCCTCCGCTCCACCGTCTCCAGCGCGTGGGTGACAGAGCGCAAGGCCGAGCCAGTGCCCGACACCAGCCCGGAGGAGAAGGCAGAGCCCGCACTCTCCAGGATGCTGGAGACCGAGCGCAGGCTGGGCCCCGGACCGTGCAGCAGGTCTGTGGCAGAGCTGTGGCCCGAGGCCAGTATGCCCGTGGCTGTGCCCATACCCATAGTGCCCTCGGACCACACCAGGATGTCGGCCAGGGAGCTGATGGTGCCCTCGCCGCCACCCAGCAGGCTGGTCATGGAGCGCATGTAGCCATGTTCCTCCCCGGCTGCGTACAGACTGGGGTCCAGGGGCCGTCTCCCCAGGGCCACCTCCTGGGGGCCGGGTGACCGAGACGCACTGCCTTCTGAGGAGGGAGGGAAAGATGGGGCTTGCAGGTCTTGCCAGCCACCCACCAAGTCCTCCCCTGTCACCACCTTGGACTGAGATGGCGGCAAAGCTGCAGCGTCAGGGGTCGAGGCCTCAGGACCCTCGGTTCCCTCCTGGGCGACCTCGGTGACTCTGCTGGCCTGCGCGTCCAGCTGACCCTGGAAGTCCTCAGTGGGCCAGACCTGCGCCTTTGGGGCAGATGCAGCTACTTCCGGCTGGCTGTGGGGAACACTGTCCGTTTGTGGGGTCTTTATGTTACCCAGGGGGTCCCCCGAGAAAACCACGAGGCTCTGAGTTAACCTTGTATCTGGGGCTGGCCTGTCTGGCTCTGGGTTCTGGAGGCTCGTGGACAGTTTCAGGGCTTCTGGGTCCTGGCGGAGAAGCAGAGCTGTGACCTCCCTCGGCTTCTCCTGGCTTTTGTCTGGAGCAACTTCCTCCTTGTCCTTATCCCCAGATGTTGACGCGACCTCAGAGGGGGCTGTAGTGAAAGAGTCCTGCCCAGCAGGTGCTGCCGCGCTGCTCACTGTGGGGAGGGGGACCAGACTTTGGGACCCCCCTGTGGAGCTGTCAGGGGACTTGCCGTCAGCCACGTCGCCCAGGGAGGCCTCGGGAGGGCCATGTGTGGGGTTGCTGGTGGCTCTGGTCTCTCCCGAGGGCAAGGTGGTCATCTATGCCCTCTGTCGCGTGTGGTAGTTCCGGTGGCCGTGCCTCTGCCAGGCTGAGTTGTCCAGGTGGTGAGGTCACAGGGGGCTGCAGGCAGCTGGTGAGATCACAGGGGACTGAGGGCAAGGGGCCTGGGCCTTCAGAGCAGCTGCCCAAGTGGCACGAGCTGTTTACGGGGCAGCTCGTGACTGAGTCTGCAGGGATGTAGGGAAGAAAGACGAATGTCTTAGAAGGGAGAGGCGGTGTGTACGCAGGTGCAGGTGCAGTCACGGGCTGCAAGGAGGCATGAAAACGTGGCTCTGACAAATGAGAAGGGAGCACTGATGCTGGCTGGGTCGGTGTTTGTGAGGACCCTTCCCGGCACGCCCGTCCACAATGAGGCCTCAGGACCTCGACTTAGTGACCTTTCTGCAGGGAGCCAGTTTCCTTTCAGGGTGGAGTAGGAGTCAGCAGAGGCCAAGGCCCGGGCAGCACCTAGGCTGTGGAGTTAGTCCCTCCGACTCGGGACAGTCTCCCCCTTTTCCCTGCTCCACAGGGCTGGGAGCCCAGAGAACAGAACATCCACAACCCCCTGAGTGCTTCTTGGGAAAGCCAGGCCCAGGAAGCCTACTTGTGCTTACGATCTTCATTAAGCAAGGCTGAGCCCACATGGCCAACTGTGTGGTTCGAGTCCTGGACCCGATGGCTTGATAATCACACCAGGCCTGTGTGCATGCGCGCATGCTTAAAATCCCGAGGGGAAACGGAGGAGAATGGATTGTGGAGTGGCCAGCTCCCCCGGGAGGTGATTTCTCACTTTCCCTCTCTGTCTTTCTGTCTTTCCAGCAGGCGCACGTACCCTATAGCAAAAAAAAAAAAAAAAAGGAAAAGTAAAAAAGGTGGTTGAAACAGAAGGTTCCCGTCTATTGTGTCTGTGCTTGTCCCGAGTTACTGGTCCCTTTTGGGGACTTATCACAGGCGAGAGGAGGGGCTAGGTGTCACAGCCTTTCCTCCCCCCCATCTGCTCTGGGCAGGGGCAGGTGGAGGGCTATGCTCATAGCCGAGTAAGTGACTTACTCAAAGTCGCACTACCAGTGAGCACTGAGCCTGGACCCCACCCTGCCCGAACTCAGAACTCAAGCTTCCCAGCACTCCCTTTTACCCAGGACGGAGACTGAAAATCTCGAGTGTGGCTCAGGCTCTAGCGTACTGATCTGCAGCGCTGGAAGCCTCACGCCAACCGCGGGTTTGAATCCCGAGTTGACCTGGAACACAGCAGGTGTAGACATGCTCAAGATCCTGACTATCTGGAATGTTGAGACAAGGGGGTGGTGGGACCCTGTCAAGGTACCTGTCTCTCTGTCTGTCACATATTGTCTCTCAGCAAAGAAAGAAAATGTAGGGCCAGCCGGTAGCGTAATGGCTATGTCGCTGGACTCCCACGTAGTCGACTGCGGTTTGAGTCCCGGACCTGGTGGCTTAAACTCACGCTGGGTGCGTGCATGCCCAAGATCCCGAGAGGAGAATGGAGGAGAAGGGTTTGTGGCGTGACCACCCGCCCTGGGGGGTGATTTCTCGCTTTCTGTCTCTCTGTCTCTCTCTGTCTTTCTGGCGAGCTCATGCACCCTATAGCAAAAACCTCTCCACAAAAAGAAAATGTGTATACTTTAAAAAGTATATATATAAATACTGAATGACTGGCATGGTGAAGGTATTAGCCAGCATGGATAGAGGCCCGGCAGGACCACCAGCCCCGCCACACTGCCAGGGACAGCTGCTGCCAGCTCTGGGTTACGCCATCAGCGACTGTCACTGTCTCTGTGCACAGAAAGGTCTCCTCCCTGAAACTCTGCCCACACTTTCCCCAGGCCGCCTCTGGTCTCTGTCTCCTCCCCTGGCTCTCTCCCCCTGCACCTCCCCCAACACCAGGCTCTGCATTCTCGTCAGTCTCTTCGCTCCTTTGGTTGACCCCACCGCCGACTCCATCTCAACCCTCAAGGCTGACCCTTCTCGCATAGTCAGGCTCAGCAGTCGGCAGTGCTCAGTCTCCCTAGGAGCCCCTCTGTGTCCTCTGAGGGTACAGGGCACACCTGTTTGCCGAAGTGGGAGGGACCGTCAGTACCACCTGTTTTTCAAGCTGCTGGGTTCAGGACTTGAACCGTGCAGTTGGCCATGTGGGACCCAGTTGCCTCAACCACTATGCCACCAGCTGTCCCAGTATTGTTAGTTTAGGGTGAACCCAGATTGTGGAATATTATGCAGCTCTATAAAGTCTACACAGAAACATGGAACACGGCTTAAATAGCGTGACTTACAAAGCAGGACGCAGTGTTTTACGGACGCTAGGTGTTTCCCCAGTGCTCTCAGCTAGAATAGAAATCCTGCTCAAACCGACTTAAGTAAGAAAAAGAAAGGAATTTCTTAGTTCACAGAAACGTGTATAGTCCAGAGGAAAGATTTCACACAGGAGATGACTTTATTTTATTTATTATTATTTTAATTTGACCAAAGAAACAGAGAGAAAGTGAGAAAGCAAGCTGCCAGGTCCGGATTTGAACTATGGTTGGCCAGGTGGGAGTCCAGCACCTTAACCACCATGCCACCCATAGGCCTCAATCCAATAGATTTTCTTAACAATTTTAGGGTTTTCCCCCCCTTTATTCATGATGTAGAGGGAGAGAAGAGAGAGAACTAGGAGCTGGGCCTGAGCAGAGACAAGAGCCACTGAATGATGCCTACAGAAATGTGAAAGCAAGCCCACGCTTTGAGGAGAATCTTGGCAGGAAATAAAGCCAAGTGCCTAGAAGAGATATTGTCAACAAGTTCAGGAAATATATGTAAGCAAAAAAGCAAATATCAATAACAATACAAGTCACTCTAGGCAAGATGGTGGACCGAGTGGGCGGGAAGCCTGCGACCCCAGCACACATGTACACACACACACACACTCACACCCACACTCTTCCAACACAGAGAAGTAGGGCAAAGCCTTGATCAAACTGCACCTGCAGCCAGTGGTCCCCAGACTTCCTGTGATGGAAGGTGATTTGTTTTGAGTTGTCTCATGAAGCTGAACCAGGGCTCTTTGTTACTAGCAGCTGAAGGAACCTTATAACATAGCAGCCCTAGCTCCCAAATCATCGAGGACCCCTGAGCAGTGGGGACCTGACCACCCTACTCCTCCTAGAGGACCCTGGCTCCTCTGCTGTCACAGCCACACCCCTCATGTTGTCTCCTTCCTGCCCTGGGCTTCAGGCCTCTCTATTCCAAGTCTTTTGCCCACAGTGGTCCATAAGTCACCCTCACAGGCTCCCTCAGACTGCTCCTCAGCACTGCCACCCACAAGGACTGAGCCACCCCCATGGACTGAGCATTGAAAGGTTCTTCATCCAGAAAAGAAAAAGCCATCACCCCCCAACCCAAGCCTACACTAGTGAGTAGAGAAGGGATAAACCTTCCAAGCAGTTGGCATCTACAGTGAGTAGAATTGTGGCCCTAAAAGATACTTCTGTATCCTGGGACCAGCAGTTGGTATAATCGCTATGTTGCTGGACTCCCACGTAGTTGACCATGGTTCAAGTCCCAGACCTGGTGGCTTAAACTCATGCTGGGCACGTGTGAGTGCGTGCCCAAGATCCCGAGAGGAGAATGGAGGAGAAGGGATTGCGGTGTGGCCATCCCCTGGGGAGTGATTTCTCGCTTTCTGTCTCTCTGTCTCTGTCTTTCTGGTGAGTGCATGCGTCCTATAGCAAAAACCTCTCCAAAAAAAAGAAAGATATTTCTGTACCCTAACCCTGGAGCCTGTGAATGTGACTTTAAGATAAAAGGGGGAACGTGGCCAGCAGGCAGCATAGTGGTTAAGGTGCTGGACTCCCACATGGCCAACAGCTCGAGTCCCAGACCTGGTGGCTTGAAACTCATGCTGTGTGTGCGTGCAGCAAATCCCAAGAGGAGAATGGAGGAGTAGGGATTGCAGCGTGGCCTTGCCCCAGGGGGTGATTTCTTGCTTTCAGTCTCTCTGTCTTTCTGTGTGTTTCTGGTGAGTGCACATACACTACAGTAAAAATCTCACTTTCCAAAAAAAAGTCTTTGTGGATATAATCAAGGACGTTGAGCTTAGAAAATTATCCTGAGTTAGTGTGGGTCTAAAGTTAATGATTAGTGCTTTTTTTCTTAAAGAATTATTAATTTCATTAATTATTATTTAATTTGCTAAAGGGTGTCAGAGAGAAAGAAAGTGAGAAAGCAAGTAGCAGGGTCTAAGACTCGAACTGCAGTCAGCCTTGTAGGAGTCTAGTGCTTTATCGGCATGCCACCTGCTGGCTGCAATGATTAGTGTTTCAGTAAGAGAGGAGAGAGAGTCAACCCATGGGCTGGTGGCTAAGGGAGCCAGAGCCCACAAGGCTGACCATGCAGTTCAAGTCCAGGACTTGGTGGCTTGAGAAACATGCCAGGTACCCCAAGTCCTGAGAGGACGGAGAGATGGAGAGTGGTGGCAGGACCGACCATTCCCCATGGAGGGTGGTGCTTTCCCCTCTCCTGTCTCTCTCTGGAAAGCACGTGCATCTTCTGGCAAAGTGAAAAGAGAGAGAGAGAGAGGGAGAATGAGAAAGCACTCCCCCCGTCCCATGAAGGGTGGCCATGCTCCAATTCCTTCTCCATTCTCCTCCCAGGATTTGGGGCACACACATGTACCTCAAGCCACTGGGAAAAGGACTCGAACCATGTAGCTGGCCATGTGGGATCCAGCCACCCTAACCACCATACCACCTGGATGGCCTCTCCCAGATGTTCAGATCATCTCTAGATTACATAACCCCTTCTACCATGCCTACACTCGCTTCAGCGGGTCGGTTCACCGTAGTGCTTGGTACATGGCATGTTCAAGCTTGGAATTTCCCCAAGTAATTACTTTCTTTTTTTCTAAGAATTATTCATTTAATTCACTTATCATTACTACTATTTTTAAGTTTGCTATAGGGTGCGTGCACTCACTAGAGAAAGAAAGCAAGCTGCCGTGTCTGGGATTTGAACAGTGGTCGGCCGTGTGGGAGTCCAGCACCCCAACTACCACACCAGCTGATGGCCCAGTACG